AAGACGATGGCCTGATCCTCACTGTAAATAGGAACCCCCCCAATTGCAACCAAAATTTTTAAAACCAAAGGGGTTTAATTGACACTTGGAGACAATAAGATTTTTATCTTTAAAAAAAAGGATTTTACAAATTTTTCCTTTTAACAGAATTTAAAACAATGAACACCTTGGGGGAGTTTTGACCCAGTTTTATTTGAAAAAACTTTTAGAAAAATTACTAGAACATAGGGGGTTGGGGGTTAAATTTGGCGTCCCTTTTCGCATTTTATTCCAATGGACGCAAATATTTTCGAGAAATTACGAGCAATTTTCTCCTAACATTTTTCGGGGGTTTGTTTACAACCAGAAAACCAAAATGCGTTAGCGCGGGGTCAGTCTATGTGGCGGCCTTGCAAAAATCGCCCCCTGAAGCCCAATTTGCCAAAAACCCCCGATAACGCCTTACCCATCATATCACGCAATATTGATGCAAAAACAAAGTTTAAACACCGTGGGCTAATTACAGATATTAAAAAAACGAAGGTTGATAATTTTTTATTTTCTTTGAACAACAGGGTTATTTTTTAAATTAGCAATTTTTAAGACAAAAGGATAAATTACGGAATTTTCACGCGCCCCAATTTAAAATTTTTTTTCTAAAATATAAAATGTAATTTAAATGATTGTTATTTCGGCATTTTTTTAGAACCAACCATTTGCCCTTTAAGTTTTAATTTTAGCAAAAACTTTATGATTTTAAAATTTAAAATTGTCCAAATTGAACAACCCAATTCACATAAACCGGCTTTATTGATAATTAGAATATGCAAATTGAATTTCCCCCAAATCGCCACATTTGCCAAAAACCCTCAAAACCCAAAAAAAATTTGGATTAAACCAAAATGAAGAAGTGAATTTGTTCCCTTTAAAATTTTTTAATACTTTAAAGTTTTAAATATCGACCAACCTTTGAAGGGTATTTCCTTTTAAAATAAATTTTCGCGGAATTGTGAATTCTTAAACACGTTTAAAAGTGTAACGATTTTTTTTTTTCATTGTAAGGTTTTTTTTAAATTTTTACAAATTTTTGTTTTTAAGTGCTTTTAACCCGTTTTGGATTTGGTATTTAAAATAAAAAAAAAACATTTCTGGTTGAATGCATTATAAATGAAATAAAAATTTTCATAATGAATTGTTTGAATGCCCCCGATTTCACCCAAAATTTCAGATTCATTAATTTTTTTCATTTAAAAATTTAAAAGCCCTTAAAAATTTCAATTTAACACAAACCAATTTTTTACTTTTAGGGATAAATTAAACAGTTAACTTTTGAAAAAGAAATTTCATTTTTTTCAAAAATTAAAAAATAGGTGAAATAAAGTTTCCAAAATTTTTAAATCGGAAAATAAGTTGTTAAAATCAGAAATTACAATTTCAAAAAACCGGCTTTTCCAAGATGTTTAAATTTTTTTCAAATTAAAGGAAAAATAATCTCCATTTATAAAACCTTTTTCCGAATTTTGCTGCCCATGTTTAACAATCCATAATGGGAAATTTAAAATTAATATTTAACATTTAGGTAAATATGACAGAAATGGAAAATTTCTTTTATTTTTCAAAGTGAAAAATTGAAATATTTACCATGGAACAAATTTGACCCTCATTTAAAAATAAAGTAATTTGGTTAATTGTTTTATTGTAATAATAAACTTTTAAAAAAATTATTATATTTACTTTCAATAAGTACCCCCAAAAATGTTAACCATGACCAAAATTTAACCTGAATGGGGGCATTCCTTACGCTCCCTTGTAACATTGAGGTTGATTTTGGTATTTAGGGAGATTGCGCGTGGAAAATTTATATTTTTTCACAAGTAAAAAGGGCATTTGCCCAAAAAAAAAAATTTTTTGAAACACAACATGAACTTACCCAATTTTTGACGCATTAATATTCTTTGGTTAATGTTTTACGATAATTATAAAAACTAATTTTAATAATTAAAAATTTTCCCGGAAAGGGGCAAATTCAAAAATCCCCTGAACCCGATTTCCAATTCCGAATTGCTGGTATTTCCATGAATTGCCAATAGCAAGTTTGGTGTTGGGGTGTAAAGTTGGGAGAAATGAAGGAAACTGAAAAATTTTAAAAAAAAAAAGGGTTACTTGCCAAAAATCTATCGGACATAACAAATTGAATTGACGGTATTTCTTTTTAAATTTTCCAAAAGTTAAAAATTTAAAATGTGTCCAACCGTTTTTTTTACGAATAAATAAGGAACTGATTTTTTCATTTTTTTCAAGAAAAGGGGGTTAATTTAAAAATCATCAACATGACCCATTCCCAATTGACTGATTTTTCTGAATTCCTTTTTTCAAATTTTTATTATGTGCCAAACGTTTTTAAAAAAAATGAACGGAAACCTGATTTGTGCGGAATTTTTGGGAAGAATTTAACCCCAAGTCGGAAGGACCGGCAAAGGACCGGAAGGCGGAATTTTTTAACGGAAAAAACTTTGCCCCGCATTTAATGGCGGGGGCAAAAAATTTTTTTTCCACAAACGTTTTAATTCTATGTGGAAATTTCTTTTGAAAATAAAAAAATTTGGGAATCTCTTAATTTCCCAAAATATAAGAAAAAGTATTGTACATTTTACTGATTAAATTTAAACATATTTTGCACGCGCTGGACCAAACTTTTTAGGGGGGGGATCCATGGCCCCCTTTTATCCAGGAAAAACCTTCTTTTAACCTGTTTTGTTAATATCTAAATCTTGCATTTGGGGTTTTTTTAAAAGAAGAATTTTATAGTTTTTGTTACCATATAAAAGAAATTTAGAACCCAGGGGCCAAATTTTACCCTTTTTTTTGAAAAACTAATTAAACACTCCCCTTTAAGGTTTTTATTTAAAATCTTAAACTTACATTTGGGTTTTTTAAAGACGATTTTTTAGTTTTTGTAAAACACATAAAGGAAATTGCACCCGGGGCGGTCAATTTTGAGCTCCGGGGTTTTTATTTGGCAACTTGTGACCCCATTAAGAAGTTGAATGTAAATTCTTTTTCCCTGCTTTAAGTTCTTAAAGAAATTTTTTAGTTTTTTACATTCATAAAGGGAAAATAAAGAACCCAAACCCCAGGGGGGTAAATTTTGCCCCGGGGTTACCTTGACAAACTTGGAACACTTTATTAGAAACTTTTCATGTAAAAATTTTTCCTAACTTTTTTGGTTTTCTAAAAGAAGATTTTTGGGGTTTTTAACTTAAGGCATTATAGGGAAAATCAAAAAACCTGCGGCAAATTTTCCCAAGGCTTTTTTATTTGGGGAAAATTGTGTCCACCATAAACCCTGTTTTTTTGTTATATCCTTTGAAAAAGTTCTTTGAGTTTTTAAAAGGGAAAATTTTAATTTTTTTATCCATATAAGGAAAATAAATGAACCCCTTGGGCGGGGTATTTTGAAAGGCTTTTTATTTAAAAACTTGGTTGCCTTTAAAATGTTTCATGCAAATTCTTTTAAGCTTAGTCTTTTATGGTTTTTTTAAAAGAAGTATTTGTTTTTCTTTTCGGTTTCTTGGTAAAAAAGAATTTGGGACAAATTTTCCTTGAAAAAATTAAAGGCCCCCAAAAACCATTCTGTGAATTTTGATGAAATTGGCTTCAGTGGGTTTTGAGGAATTTTCAATTTAAAGAAAAAGTTTTTTGGGGCCCGGACCAAAAGGGGTACAAAAGTACCCTGACTTTGACATGGTGAGCTCAAAATGTTTCAAGTATGTATTGTTTTAAAAAAAATTTCCCCGGATTCAATTTATCAAATATTTCTTACGCAGAACTTTTTAATGTGGACTTCTTTAAAAATGATAGATTTTACTAAAAAAGGGAGTCTCTCTAAGCTTTTCCATTTAAAATTTTAACTTTCACAATTTGAAATTATTCTGTAACTTTTGAAATTCTATTCTACCTTTGAAAAATTTTTCTCGAATTTTAAATTTATGAGAAATAATAGGTAAGAAATTTCTTTGCCATTTACACATTGTGATTATTTTTTAAAATTTTCAAACAGGGAATTTCATTAAACCTTACAACCAATGAAAAATAAGTTAAATATGGTTTAATTTTTTTTTGTTTCTCATTAAACATTCCCGTACAAAAACGGAGTTTTAAACATAATTTTTTTCCCCAAAACCCAAAATTAAATTGACATAAATTTTAGCTGTCAAAATTGGGGATTCCAAATCCCAAACCCCATGTTCAAACATGTATTTTTTATTTATAACTCATATTTGGGGAAAAAAAAATTATCCATTATTTTGTAATAGGGGAAAAATGTCTAAAATTTTAACCCTTATAATTATAATTTTAAAATTAATGGCCCTTTTTTCCTACTTTTAATAATGTCCTTTAATTTGATACATTTATCATTTTACATGAATGAAAAGATTTGCACAGGAAGAATATTTATATAAATGATAGTCTAATAATCAAGTAGAAAATGTACATGTTGAGGTCAATATTACAAGGTAAATTATTTTGAGTTTTTTTGAACATACATTCATAATTATAAATAATTTAGTTATTATATCACAAAAGATAACACAGGAAGTTAAATTTATTGAACACCAATTTTTATGTTCTGTATGGTGTAAACATTTTGAACTTTTTCTTTACTTTCATATCTAAACCAACAAAATTTGTTCTTTTAGTTCCATTCATGTTGTCAGATTGGTGTTGAATGATAGATAATCAGTACAATTTGTTTACTTCTTTTTTAAGGGTACCTGTATTTGTAACTATAGTGTTCTTCAGTTTTATACAAATTCTATAAATTAAATGATTATAATAATCTAGCTAGCAATAGATATATTTATATATGGAAGTAACAACTTACTTTTGATCCTACCTACACTCAATTCCCTGTTAGTGTAATATAAAATTATGTTACAATATATGGTAGGTTTTCTGTAAAACAATAAACATACAAAACACAAACTTCATTAAAAATTCAACAAAACATTGTACATTACCTAGCACCCTTTATAGATTCCCCTTGAACCGCTTGGCCATTGATGTCAATAATTTCATCATAAAGTTGAATGCCACCATCTGCCTGTATAATACTGCCATCAGCAATGTTAATGACCTTAACTGGTGACAAGGTATTGTAAGACATATCATCTAATGAATCATATAAACTACTCTCCATTTTAAGTCTATCTATTGCACTATCTGTGAGGCAGGTGTGTCCCGCAGTGTTTCCTAGTTCAAGACCAAAATTGTCACCTTCGAGGATTATGAAATCTAACGTAAAAATTTGGTCTCTACGGGGAGGTTTGGCCGGTGGGGATTTTGCACAATCTCTGACTGGTTCACCAGCAATAAGTGTACCAGTTTTAGAAACCGTCGCTAAGTTTTCTTTGCCTTCTAACATGTCCATGTTGCTGGGGGATTCGTACCCAGCATCATTTTGTGATTTACTTCTTCCATATTTTCCTTTACCATTTTTAGCACCGACCCCTTTTCGGTTAAAGCGCCACGATTTTTGCCCTTGTCCTGGCAGGATCTTCATTTTAGTAAAATATGATTTCAATGCATCCATCTTAGAGCACTTTGTTGCCTCTTCAATTATCAGAAACTATTTACTTGTAATACTGGGTAATTTCCATCTTATAATGAAACAAAATCACTTTAATTTCCTTTTCAATTTCACTATCAAATATTAACAATCCGTTGTTATGGAATTATATTACAATTTATGTCCAGTAGTAGTTTCAAACTCATCAACGTTATCAAATATCAACACGTAAATCCAAATAATTCATTATATATTATTAACAGAAAAATATAGCACAAAGTACTTCTCTTTCACTAAAAACTGTTTAACTCATATAACTAACAACTTAGTGAAACTATACGATTTTTTAAAGGTAAATGTGCCACAAAATTAACACCGCTGTCAAATTAACAATACCCGCTGGCGACTACGCAAACATAGCTTAGCGAATTATTGAAGTTACTTCCCTAAATAAATTATTAATCCTCTTCGCATCTTTTCTCTCTATGAATGAGCGATAACTTCCCGTAGTCTACGTCCAGATTATTGAATTTATCGTGCATTTCTTCTTCTTTTTTCTCACGCATGTACGCATGATGTACTATAAACATGTGTGTATTTTTTAGCGATATACTGTGATGCTGACAGCAACATGTGGCGTGTGACTTTTCGCGGGAAATCGTCACACACGACTGTCAAAAAATGAACCTAATTTTACGATAATATGCGAAAGTAGTAACAATTGAAACAAAGGTTAATAAATCGTGTATAAATGATAGGCAATCGGTTTCGGGATGAAAAAAAATCTTTTGAGAGGTTTGTAGAACTCTAATTAAATGTAACGATTTTTAACGTAGATGTCTCGATTCTAAAACCGTCATTATCCGATGTAACTAAAAATCGTTACATTCAATTAAATTTGAGTTCTACAAACCTCTCAAAAGGTTATTTTTTAAATCCCGAAACCAAATATATATGGTTTAAATGTCATAAACACTATGTACCCAACAGTTCTGAATAATTTGAAGAAAAAAGAAATCTAAACATGAAAAACTTAGTTGATTTTTTTTTAAATTTTATGTTTCGTTTTTCTTTGACATATTCTTTGCTTGATTTGAAAAATAAATTGTGTACAAATAAAAGACTGACATTTTGATATAATGCTGTCAAATATGCTAATTAAAGACACCGTGAATGAAAGTCCAACAAATTGAACTGCGCAACCCAGGACGAAAAATATCTCAGAATCAAGCTTTCGCAGTCAATATATTTTGACTTAAGTGAATGACAATCGTTTTTTATTGAATAAAAGGGGAAGTATCACGTTTTCCTTTAGCCTTTATATAATAAATGATTATCTTATTTAAAATGACTCAAGATCTTGTGACATGTATACATGTTTAAGTTTGAAATAAAAACGCTGATCATTGTTGCATGAATTATGCCCATGGTACAAAATGCAGTTGTAAAAGAAATGAACTTGAAGTATGTAATTTATTAAGGTGACACATTTCATTTGTTACACAGATGTCCCATAATAGATCCATTTAAAACGCCTACAAACATAAAAGCAATCTAACTGATGAGCAATTAGGCTTTTTATATTTTGTGTGAAACTTCTATGATTTTTATTTAGAATTCAGCATTTATTATTACTAACTTAAATAGTCTTTAAAAAGGTATATCTATCTGCTCATACATGTATATTTATGCAGATAAATAGTTCTATTTTAGAAAGAGTATTTGCAGAGTTACTTCCCTTTAGTTTAATAATGGCACCATAACACCCTCAACTCCAACAAAAGTGGTCAATAGTAAGTATGACAGGATATCTAGCTGTGGTAGTCATTCAAAGGGTCATATTTAAATCAAGCTAGTATAAAAAAAAGATAATGTAAATGGATTTTACCGTCAAAGTCTCCTGTACATATATTGAACCATCACCTTGGTTAAGGATTTTTATCCACTCTCATCATACAACTCTACATATCTATCGATTTCCTCGGGACTGTTCATTTCCTGAAGGCTGTCCATCTAACTATACCACACTCAAAAGGTATTTATCTAAAGCTGGATAATCGTAAACAATACTCAAAGAAATAAGCATTGTGCTTAATTGGACTCAAACAAGGACATCAATATAGTATTACTTGGCATTATATAATATTCCTAAAAATGAAACAAACAAAAAACAAATTTGAACAACCAAGTTTCATCTTTACATCTTGATTTTTTTCCATTGTTATTAACTATGCATCTGTTATGTATTAATGCTTTTAAATGTCATTTCTGGGGACTGTTCATTATTTAAGCTAAAAAGTATCTGAAATACAATGCAAATGCCCCTCTCGTCTCAAATACAACTACTTTATATCTTTCCCTTTTGACAAATACTTACCATTTAATCCAAATACTACACCTGTGACTTAAACCAGAATAAAAAAATAAATTGCCACCAGACACATTGTCTTCAACCTGACTATCATCAAGAAATATGATAATGCCAGAGGAATCATTTTGACATTTGTGTGAATTCATCAAGCCCTCTGACCTTTAAATGCAGTAATTCCATCACAGAAAATAAATCCTTCTGATATTTTTTTACAAATGATTTTAACACTTTTTTGGTCACATCTCAGTGGTGATTTATACGTAAAAAACAGCGATCAAGTAAGAATTTCCAAAAGGGGAAAAATTGGTAACAATCAATGCTACAGTTGAGAATGTTGGTTCCTGATTGTCAAATACTTTTTTGTGACATTTCAAGGGTTGGAGTTAAAATCGCATAATTATGTGCTATGCCAATGCCATGCACCCACTTATCTTTGGAAAGTTGAGAGTTAAAAATGTGCTGTTCAATATTAAGCAAAGGTATAGAAATAATACATATATGCAAATAAAAACTAAACAACTAGAAAAGTTTGTTAAGATTTAATCCTTAAACAAAACACAATAGAGTGTAAGAAGATCTGACATATATAAAGCAAAGTACAAGTAAACAATAACACAGATTATTCTTTGGTATTCTTATAAATAAAAATAAGCAAAAAATCATGTTTTTACAACATAAATAAGAATATTTGAAACACTAGTGGATGTTCAACAATGTTGCCTTGATACTTCTTAAACCTATTCTCATATATTACGAGACTTAACTTAAAGGAACTCCACTGAGGTCTTAAAGCCTGAAAACATAAAATTTGAAGTCCTTACAATGATCAGTTGGGGCACTTAAAACATATAAGGATATGCAAAACATAATCAAAGAAATACAATGTATACTCAAAAATATATTGAAAATCATATTATATTTTTTATATTTTTAGTCAAATTTGAGTGAAAAGTGTTGCAATGCTTTTCAATTTTCACAATCATAATAATTATCCTGGAAAAACAAAGTGAGCAAATGATATGAAATTGTGCAAAAAAGTTATTGGTCGAAGCATACACCAAATAAAGAATTAATCTTGAAAATTTATCTTGTCTCGTCATGTGAAAAAAACCTCAGTGAAGTCCCTTTAAATGGACTTGTTTACCTTTAAATCTGAACAAAACTACATAAACTAAAAAATGATGAATAGTTATGTCCAGATTCAAACATGCACAAAAGTCAATTCAAAATACTTAGTGTTATAAGTGTTAAAGAATTTATTTTAACATCCATAACAAGAGCTGTCGGTAGGACAGCAACGCTCGACTATTCTTAGTGCTTGATAGTAAAAAAAATGCTTGATACAGTTACCTCCTCCTGTTTACAGGTTGGGGTCATGATGGTGAACAAGTGTGCAAAGTTTCAAAGCCATATGTCAATGGACTTTGAAAATATTTGAACTATTACAAAAACTTTAACGTAAATTCTAAGTCGAAAAAAGGGCATAATTCTGTCAAAATGCTTGATAGAGTTACCTCCTCCTGTTTACAGGTTTGGGTCATGATGTTGAACAAGTGTGCAAAGTTTCAAAGCCATATGTCAATGGACTTTGAAAATATTTGAACTATTACAAAAACTTTAACGTAAATTCTAAGTCGAAAAAGGGGCATAATTCTGTCAAAATGCTTGATAGAGTTACCTCCTCCTGTCTACAGGTTGGGGTCATGATGGTGAACAAGTGTGCAAAGTTTCAAAGCCATATGTCAATGGACTTTGAAAATATTTGAGGTATTACAAAAACTTTAATGTAAATTCTAAGTCGAAAAAGGGGCATAATTCTGTCAAAATGCTTGATAGAGTTACCTCCTCCTGTCTACAGGTTGGGGTCATGATGGTGAACAAGTGTGCAAAGTTTCAAAGCCATATGTCAATGGACTTTGAAAATATTTGAGGTATTACAAAAACTTTAATGTAAATTCTAAGTCGAAAAAGGGGCATAATTCTGTCAAAATGCTTGATAGAGTTACCTCCTCCTGTCTACAGGTTGGGGTCATGATGGTGAACAAGTGTGCAAAGTTTCAAAGCCATATGTCTATGGACTTTGAAAATATTTGAACTATTACAAAAACTTTAACATAAGTGGTTACGCCGACGCCGACGCTCGGGTGACTGCAATAGCTCTACTTATTCTTATCGAATATTCGAGCTAAAAGTTAAAGCAGCATGCCTCCAGATTCATGCTAATTTTCATGAAAAAATTGAAAATTTATTTAAAAGTAAAATATTGAGAAGTGAACAACGATATTAATGTACACATTACAATCAGTGCTCAACATCCAGATAAATTACCCGAAAGAGGTCAAGTTTTGTAAAATTGCCCTTTATGTAGACATATGGTGATAAAAATCGCAAAATCAGTAAGAAATAAATCAGAAATAACTTGTATATCATTGCTTTAATCTTGAATGTCTTTACTGTTCATAAAATAATAGTACAATGTTCTCAAGTTTGATTCTCTTGAAGCTTTGGCTTATCTGGAGGCATGCAATTTTTACTTCAGCTAATGCAAATAAATTCATTTCAATTTCCAAAAGTTATAATCATAAACTGATAACAAAATGTAAACTCACTGGAGTCTATTGGGTAGAATTTGAGTCAGCCATTTAGTTAAGTATCAGCCATTTAGTTAAGTACTAAAAGCATTTGGGTCTACAGAATTTTTTAGTTCAATTTCTTGAAAAGGGTTGGAACCTTAAGTCTACAACAGTATGCCAAAGTGAAATGAAAATTTTGTTTGACAGGTCTACTTTTATTCAGTTTAACTAACATTCTACTTTTATTCAGTTTAACTAACATAGAAAAACAGTAATTAACATATATATTATCCATACATGAATTAAATTGCACATTTGTTTAAAGCAATGACCATAAAACACTTTTTTTAAATTAATATAAAAAGATAAACATCTGTATAAAGTAGCCCTTTTGGGGCCACCCATATGTTGATCTAGATATTTCTGACAGCCATAGTACAAAAAAAAAAACATCATCAAGTCAATTTCAATTAATATTATGATTATAAATATATTCGGTTAAAAAAAAAAAGACAGTCATGAAATTTTATAAAAATCAAACACAGAAAAATTTCCTTCAGTAGTTTCAGAGATACATACATGTATCAATTTGCATGCAAAAACTTAACCGAAGTGTGACACAATGCCTTTGTAAGTACTATAGCTCCCCATAATTCTTTAAAAAGTCAAGCTTAAAAATCTGTGTGACATAAATTTAACATTTCAATTTTTTTTTATCAATGTCTAGTAACAGACTATCTAAGCATAATATAAACAATAAAATAAAATTAAACAAGATATCTTTGTAAAACATGTATGCCCCCTATCAGCAGCCAATTATTCATGTGATAAGGTAATTATGCATGACTTCTGACCCAGTGATCAAACAATTAATAAGGGATATCAAGTATCTACTGGTCATGACCTTGACCTTTGACCCCTTGACCCAAAACTCAATAGGGGTCATCTGCTGGTCAAGACCAATCATCATACAAAGTTTAAAGTTCCTAGGCCTAAGCGTTTTTAGTTAATTGATCAGAAACCGTTTTTACTTACAAGGTCAATGTGACCTTGACCTTTGACCCCTTGACCCCAAAATCAATAGGGGTCATTTGCTGGTCATGACTAATCACCATGCCAAGTTTGAAGTTCCTAGGCCTAAGGGTTCTTTTATTATTGATCAGAAACCGTTTTAACATACAAGGTCAATGTGACCTTGACCTTTGACCCCAAAATCAATAGGGGTCATCTGCTGATCATGACCAATCACTATGCCAAGTTTAAAGTTCCTAGGCCAAAGCGTTCTTTAGTTATTGATAAGAAACCGTTTTTACTTACAAGGTCAATGTGACCTTGACCTTTGACCCCTTGATCCCAAAATCGAAAGGGGTAATCTGCTGGTCATGAAAAATCACCATACCAAGTTTGAAGTTCCTAGGCCTAAGCGTTCTTAAGTTATTGATCAGAAACCGTTTTTACTTACAACATCAATGTGACCTTGACCTTTGACCCCTTGACCCAAAACTCAATAGGGGTCATCTGCTGGTCACCACCAATCATCATACAAATTTTGAAGTTCCTAGGCCTAAGCGTTTTTAGTTAATTGATCGGAAACCGTTTTTACCTACAAGGTCAATGTTACATGACCTTTGACCCCTTGACCCTGAAAACAATAGGTCATCTGCTGGTCATGACCAATCACCATACCAAGTTTGAAGTTCCTAGGCCTAAGGGTTCTTAAGTTATTGATCGGAAAGCATTTTTACCTACAAGGTCAATGTGACCTTGCCCTTTGACCCCTTAACCCCAAAATCAGTAGGGGTCATCTGCTGGTCATGACCAATCACCATACCAAGTTTGAAGTTCCTAAGCCTAAGGGTTCTTTAGTTATTGATCGGAAACTGCTTTTACCTAAGAGGTCAATGTGACCTTGACCTTTGACCCCTTGACCCCAAAGTCAATAGGGGTCATCTACTGATCATGCCCAATCACCATACCAAGTTTGAAGTTCCTAGGCCTAAGGGTTCTTAAGTTATTGATCGGAAACTGTTTTTACCTAAGAGGTCAATGTGACCTTGACCTTTGACCCCTTGACCCCAAAATCAATAGGGGTCATCTACTGATCATGACCAATCACCATATCAAGTTTGAAGTCCCTAGGCCTAAGGGTTCTTTCGTTATTGATCGGAAACCGTTTTTACCTACAAGGTCAATGTGACCTTGACCTTTGACCACTTGACCCCAAAATCAATAGGGGTCATCTGCTGGTCATAACCAATCACCATACCAAGTTTGAAGTTCCTAGGCCTAAGGGTTCTTTTGTTATTGATCGGAAACCGTTTTTACCCATGAGGTCAATGTGAACTTGACCTTTGACCCCTTGACCCCAAAATCAATAGGGGTCATCTACTGATCATGACAAATCACCATACCAAGTTTGAAGTTCCTAGGCCTTAAGGTTCTTTAGTTATTGATCGGAAACCGTTTTTGCTTACAAGGTCAATGTGACCTTGACCTTTGACCCCTTGACCCAAAAATCAATAGGGGTCATCTACTTGTCATGACCAATCACCATACCAAGTTTGAAGTTCCTAGGCCTAAGGGTTCTTTAGTTATCACTCGGAAACCATTTGGTCTACGGACCGACGGACCGACAAGTGCAAAGCAATATACCCCCTTCGAAATGGGGGCATAAATATCAAATACAATGCTGGATTTCATTCTTTAACATCTTAATAAATCTACTTCTTATAAATACATAATGTATGAAAATATAATATAAACATGATATATTAATATAAATTTATTAAAAAAAAAAATCCCTATTTCTGTTAAAAGTTTAAAGTAATACTGCTGCACATGTTTAAAGGACTTATTTTTAACATGAAGCATGCCCTTTTTTTCAATCTGAAAAATTCTTCATTGAAACATAACCTTTGTTATGAAACATGCTCTGCTTTTTTATTTGAATCATACCCTTCTTTTTTATTTGAAACTTGCCCTGCTTTCTTATTTGAAACATGTCTTCTTTATTTGAAACATGCCCTGTTTTTTTTTTATCTGAAACATGCCCTGCTTTTTTTATTTGAAACATACCCTTCTTTTTTATTTGAAACATGCCCTGCTTTTTTATTTGAAACATGCCCTGCTTTTTTTATTTGAAACAGACCCTGCTTTTTTATTTGAAACATGCCCTGCTTTTTTATTTGAAACAGACACTGCTTTTTAATTTGAAACATGTCCTTTTTAATTTGAAACATGCCCTGCTTTTTTTTTTATTTGAAACAGATCCTGCTTTTTAATTAGAAACATGCCCTGCTTTTTTATTTGAAACAAGCCCTGCTTTTTTATTTGAAACAGACCCTGCTTTTTAATTAGAAACATGCCATTCTTTTTAATTTGAAACATTGTAATATGCCAAGAATGACTAATCCAGTGCTCTCCCTACAGACACAGTGAAGAGATCCTGTGTGTAAAAAAAATTGGTTAAATCATAGCTAGTGATTTAAAGTTGTTCAAAGATGGCATTCAAAGTGCGCGTTTTTGTGAAACAAATTTTTATCCACTAGCAAACGGGAGCTTTTTTTCCTACAATTATGTATTTTAATACAATTGCATGTGTACTTTAAAAATATAGTAATTAAATTACTACATATGTGAAATAAAGCTAATATAAACAACATTTTCTCCCTATATTCAATTATTTAAATGTGGGTATAAAAATGTAAAATAAGCAGCAGTAGGGGTAAATACAAGGCAGAGTTGGGTCGGAAGTTTCATAAACGGCCTCCTAAATGAACAATGTCCACAAGGACATTAGCCAAAGTGATTTGGATCCGTTTGAACTTAAATGAGAATTTAGCTATGAAATACAATAATCATATACCTAAGTAAAATGGATTAAAATTGTACATAAAAAAAACAGACATTTAAGTTTATAATTAAAATAAAAGAACAATTTTTTAGAGTCTCTAGGACTTTAAATGTACAATAACATTACCAAAGACATTAAAACAACATAGCGTCACCTTACTGCAGTAACCGGTTAACTCCTTATGCAATTTATTAGCAGTTAACCGATTATTGCACTAAGGTGATAATACAATTATGTTAAATAAGGCTAGTTTCCTTATATAAATCTGATTTCTTAAACAAAACATAAAACACTTACATAAATACGAGAAGATAAATGTATATAAATAAATTTCAACATTTTTCGCTTACATAAATATGAGAAGATATATAAATGAATTTCTACACTTTCTTCACTAATTTCTAGCTAGAGTAGCCCCTGATAGGGTTCCGCTACCATAATTTGAGCAAACTTGATTTTGTTTGTTCGTCTGTCTGTTTTTTTACCACGATTACAACACATTTTTAGTTAATCTTGGTGATCCGTTCTGGATGAGTAACCAGTAACTATCTGCTACGAAATCCCCTACTTGATCCATGTCACAACAAAACCAACATAGTGGGTTTGCGACCAGCATGGATCCAGACCAGCCTGCGCATCAGCGCAGTCACATCAGGATCAATGCTGTTCACTTACCATCTTTATTACAAGTAGAGAAACTGATAGCGAACAGCATGGATCCTGATCAGACTGCACCGATGCGCATGCTAGTCTGGATCCAAGCTGGTTGCTAACCCATTATGTTGGTTTTATCATTAAATACGTTTTGCGGCTTATACTTATTCACAAAAAGGCATTGAAAGGTATTTTGATTTCACAGCTCTATTGGCCTGTAAATAAAGTTCTGTCCACTTATTTGGTATTTTCATTCTTAGCTCTTAGTGGCCTCTAATAATCTAGCCAACTTTACTTTGCCCCCTCCCCCACTTTAACAAACCTAATAAGAGGTCATTTAACAGATGCCACAAACCAAATTAAGGAATGACCACTGTTTCATAAACCAGCCACTTTTCAGATATTTAAATGTTTTCTAATTCCACAGATTTTCAGGGCCGCTAATCTCAATAATAAGCAAATTGCAGTTACCAATACACAAAGCTACATGTATGTATCAAAATTCAAAAGTAAAATCTGACCAACACTTTCAGCAGAAAAGACCATTTACTGACACTGGAGGACAAAGGCAAGACCATCTGGCCTTTTCAAAAAAACTTACGTTAATGTCAATAACATTCACTCTTTTAAATCAATGATGATATAAAAATATTGCAGACACGACGAGCATTGCAGCTATGATGAAGAACACGTTTATCACAGTACCAAACACAAATACGGACAATATCGTGGATGTCAGCATGCCGCCGGATATGATGAATAATCGTGTCAGGTTACTACCATGCTTCATCACTACTGACATGATTAACCCATTGGAAGCCTGAAAAAGCATAAATTACAATATATTACACAGAAATAACGTGTATCACTATTCAGGGGAAAAAATATCTTGCATACTGTTTAGGTATCATTTCAATTTGGTGAAGCACTGAAATGTTTATCCGAAGGTCCTAAGTTCCAGATCCACCTACAGCCCCAAATTCAAAAAGATTAAGATTTTTACTTCATAACCATACTTGGAATGACATAAAAAGATGAAATTTTAGAAAAGTATCTCATTTACCTTGCAATATATCTTTGAAAAGTATACCTGAGTAGGAACTATAAGCCAAGTATACCTGAGTAAGGACTATAAGCCAAGTATAAACTGTAAATCCTTGAAAGAAACCTTTATCTTCTCCCTCATATGTATTTGTTTGCCACAGTAATGTCAGAGCATTCAGGAACGTTCCATATGCGTACAGCAAAATATTCTGTAGGGGCAGTGAGGTCTGAAAGAAGTAAACAAGTTAAAGCATCTATCATTGCTTATCCAGTTAACTTTTTATGTAGAAATCCCAAAAAAATTATTGCTTTGAATTCAAAAATGTTGATTGTTAGGAAATTTAGTGTTGAGTAACAGTATTTAATAACATAATGTTACTTCATTATAACATATCTCCTTAATTTTATTGATTTCATTTATCATCAAATATCATTAATACCACATAAAAAATATAATAGTATTGATAAAAATATGTCATCTACATTTATAATAAACAATCAATTTAATAACAAATTTCTAATATTAAATACAAAACATGCTTGAATACAAAAAATATGCTTGAATACAAAAAATAAATGCAAACCATTAAGGAAAATAAAGTACATTTGTAATCAAGTAATAAATACATGCATATCATGAAATAATTGAAATAATTTTATACATGCACATTCTTCATAACTTCCAGATTTCAATTTTCTAGCAAATTGTTCTTGGTTTCTTTCATATTTCCATTCCTTAAGCAAAACACTTTTGTTAACTTACAGACTTTAGTCTTTTAATGAGGCTCATTATGCCTCTGAAATGCTGTCAATTTTATTTCTGAAAACTTTTTATTTTTGAATCTTGATACAGTTTCAAGAACAAGTTATGTTTGTAAAACATGTATGCCCCCTTTCGGCAGCCAATTAGTCATGTGATCAGGTTATTATGCATGACTTCTGACCCAGTGAACAAACAATTAATAAGGCTTATCTAGTATCTACTGGTCATGACTAGTCACAAGGTAATAATTATTGTGACCCCATAGGTTGTGTGCAGCAATTTAAGTTATTACAAATCCTACTAAATAATATATGCATAAATTCTATGAATAATATAGGCCTCATTAATGACAGCCAAGTTGTTATATTACATAAGACCTTCAAATGTGTATACCAAAAGCATTTTTAGTTTAATATAAAAATATCAACCAAGGCAACTTGAGTTGTTGAGTTATTGGTCAGAAACCGTCATTAAGTACAAGGTCAATATGACATTGACCCCTTGACCCCAAAATCAATAGGGGTCATCTACTGGTCATGACCAATGATCATACAAAGTTTGAAGTTCCTAGGCCTAAGCGTTCTTTAGATATCGATCGGAAACCATTTTTACCTACAAGGTCAATGTGAACTTGACCTTGGACCCCTTGACCCAAAAATCAATAGGGGTCATCTGCTGGCAATGACCAATCATCATACCAAGTTTGAAGATTCTAGGCCTAAGCGTTCTTTAGTTATTGATCAAAAACCGTTTTTACTTACAAGGTCAATGTGACCTTGACCTTTGGCCCCTTGATCCCAAAATCAATAGGGGTGATCTGCTGGTAAGACCAATCATCATACAAAGTTTGAAGTTCCAAGGCCTAAGCGTTTTACGCTAATTGATCGGAAACCGTTTTTACCTACAAGGTCAATGTGACCTTGACCTTTGACCCCTTGACCCCAAAATCAATAGGTCATCTGCTGGTCATGACCAATCACCATACCAAGTTTGAAGTTCCTAGGCCTAAGGGTTCTTAAGTTTTTGATTGGAAACCATTTTTACCTACAAGGTCAATGTGACCTTGACCTTTGACCCCTTAACCCCAAAATCAATAGGGGTCATCTGCTGGTCATGACCAATCACCATACCAAGTTTGAAGTTCCTAGGCCTAAGGGCTCTTTAGTTATTGATCGGAAACCGTTTTTACCCAAGAGGTCAATGTGACCTTGACCTTTGACCCCAAGATCAATAGGGGTCATCTATTTGTCATGACCAATCACTATACCAAGTTTGAAGTCCCTAGGCCTAAGCGTTCTTTAGTTATTGATCGGAAACCGTTTTTACCTACAAGGTCAATGTGACCTTGACCTTTGAGCCCTTAACCCCAAAATTAATAGGGGTCATCTGCTGGTCATAACCAATCACCATAACAAGTTTGAAGTTCCTAGGCCTAAGGGTTTTTTAGTTATTGATCGGAAACCGTTTTTACCCAAGAGGTCAATGTGACCTTGACCTTTGACATGGGGGCATAAAAATACTAATTTGCCATTTAACCCATTACACGATATACACGCCTTTTAAGTTAACGCCTTCTTCACACACCCCCTTTTTGTTGTCTCAAATGGTGAAAAATGTCTTATTTAGGCCCCAACACTTGTTTTTGTTTGAGAAATGTTTCAACGAAAACAGCCATTTTCACAAAATGCTCATGAAGTAATGGGTTTAATGAACTACCCTTTGCTACTTCTGCTCTGTTGGCAATTAGAAAAATTATAGTGAACTAATATTTAGTATAAAAGTCAAAATAATACTTTGTTAATATTTTGCTATCTTATGGGCACACAATTACACACTAAGCAATTTTAGTATTTCCTATGCTCTAAATCCAATGTTAAAACATTACTAAACACATATTTGACCTTTCTAAAGAATTAAAAAAAATAAACAAAAAAAACAAAACAAATGAATTTCTTAGGCATAATGGGCCTTAAACTGTTATTCTCTTGATAAATATCTATACCATTTTCCATTAACTTACAGATTTTCGTTTTTTAAGCAAATATTCTGTAAAGACGGCAGCAAACCCCGATATAGAACAATACATAAACATCATGAGTAAGCCTGTTACAGTGATAAATATTGGGAGGGAATGGTGGTCCAGTTTCTGCTCGACAAATCCACCGTAACTGAAAGTACATAAATTCATTGTAAACAATCTATAAAATGGCAAACAGTGGTGGCATGGGCTTTGCATATTGCCTTGTTAAGATGCACAATTGAGCCAAGTAGAAAGAAAATTCTTTCAGGGGTACAGAATTTAAAGATCAGACATAAAATTTATGATATTTCACCTCTGAGTGTGAGGCAGTATTATGGGCCAGCAAAGTGGTAGATTCTGCATAGTGTAGACTAGAAGTTTTATGAGACCAAAGTATGAATGCTTTACTTACAGAATGAAACTGTTATGGTTTGGCTGCATACAAAATAATAAAACCTACAAAATTATCAATTGACAGCATAAAAATCCATTTTTTTTACATAATAAGACATTTTACATAAGTACAATATCAACATTCTCACAAAATGAAGCTAGATATAAAATATTCATTTCTAACCATATTTCAAATCAAAGGTTCAGCATATACACTGTTAAAACTTGAACTTTAAATGAATCCACTTCATCATTTAACGACAGTGTAATGTTGAGCCCTTGATAAATATATATTACAAGTCCATGCAAGAACTTACTGACAGATGATACTTTAGATTAAGTTCAGTGTGAACACCGGCTAAACTTGAGAAAACGTTAGACAGGAGCACCATGAGGAGACCGAGGGATGTTACATACATATGCTGTACAACAGTATTCTCCTCAAAGCCTCCGTAGCTGGTTGCGGTAAAAATTCAGTACAAAAATACAACATTCATATGTTTATCATTATAATAACAAGAGCTGTCGGTAGGACAGCAACGCTCGACTATTCTTAGTGCTTGATAGTATAAAACAAGAGCTGTCGGTAGGACAGCAACGCTCGACTATTCTTAGTGCTTGATAGTAAAAAAAATGCTTGATAGAGTTACCTCCTCCTGTTTACAGGTTGGGGTCATGATGGTGAACAAGTGTGCAAAGTTTCAAAGCCATATGTCAATGGACTTTGAAAATATTTGAACTATTACAAAAACTTTAACGTAAATTCTAAGTCGAAAAAGGGGCATAATTCTGTCAAAATGCTTGATAGAGTTACCTCCTCCTGTTTACAGGTTGGGGTCATGATGGTGAACAAGTGTGCAAAGTTTCAAAGCCATATGTCAATGGACTTTGAAAATATTTGAACTATTACAAAAACTTTAACGTAAATTCTAAGTCGAAAAATCTAAGTCGAAAAAGGGGCATAATTCTGTCAAAATGCTTAATAGAGTTACCTCCTTCTGTTTCCAAGTTGGGGTCATGATGGTGAACAAGTGTGCAAAGTTTCAAAGCCATATGTCAATGGTTTTTGAAAATATTTGAACTATCACAAAAACTTTAACGTAAATTCTAAGTCAAAAAAGGGGCATAATTCTGTCAAAATGCTTGATAGAGTTACCTCCTCCTATTTACAGGTTGGGGTCATGATGTTGAACAAGTGTGCAAAGTTTCAAAGCCATATGTCAATGGACTTTGAAAATATTTGAACTATTACAAAAACTTTAATGTAAATTCTAAGTCGAAAAAGGGGTATAATTCTGTCAAAATGCTTGATAGAGTTACCTCCTCCTGTCTACATGTTGGGGTCATGATGGTGAACAAGTGTGCAAAGTTTAAAAGCCATATGTCAATGGACTTTGAAAATATTTAAACTATTACAAAAACTTTAACGTAAATTCTAAGTTGAAAAAGGGGCATTATTCTGTCAAAATGCTTGATAGAGTTACCTCCTCCTGTCTACAGGTTGAGGTAATGATGGTGAAGAAGTGTGCAAAGTTTCAAAGCCATATGTAAATGGACTTTGAAAATATTTGAACTATTACAAAAACTTTAATGTAAATTCTAAGTCGAAAAAGGGGCATAATTCTGTCAAAATGCTTGATAGACTTACCTCCTCCTGTCTACAGGTTGGGGTCATGTTGGTAAACAAGTGTGCAAAGTTTCAAAGCCATATGTCAATGGACTTTGAAAATATTTGAACTATTACAAAAACTTTAACATAAGTGGTTACGCCGACGCTCGGGTGACTACAATAGCTCTACTTATTCTTATCGAATAGTCGAGCTAAAAATAAATCTCTGAATCATATCTGAATCATATCATTAGAAATGCATAAAATACTGAGTAACCTGGTGTCATGCTTTTCTGCTTTCACACTGATTTAAACACATTTGTTTGGTAGTGTTTTGGCAGTGGATCAGCCTAAATTGCTTTCCTGGATAACTAACCAGTAAATACCAATTTCTTAACAAGTGACCGACCACTAATCCTACATGATTTTTCAATCAACTCCACAATCAGTTGTCAAAGAGAAATCCCAAACAAACGACCCCTTGATAACTAATCCAATGCTCTCCCTTGAGCTTAGCCCGGCGGTGAGAAGACTACCCGGGGGTGAGAAGAGTAAAATTTTCAAAGACTGCAAACAGCATAATCATTGTAAATCTGAATGGAAAACATATTTCTGCAACTTTCAAAAAGATACATGAATAGGACCTCCTTATTCAATCAAAAGTGGGTAACAGAGTAGAACCATCAACATGTTACACATAGCCTGCTTGTGGCAACAGATTCTACCCATGCGACCAAGATCAATTGGCATGGTACTGTATGATCATGGTCTGCACTGTTCACTATTCCTTCGTTACAAATTGTGAAATTTTTCCTTAAAATGATGAATGGTCTTATCTAGATTGAAAGACTGATAAGTATATTTTAGTTATTTTTAGCATAGTACAGGTAAATGTTCACTGCTGTCCTAGAAACTGTCATTTATACAACTGTAATATTAAAAGAAGGACCATTACATTCTACCCTTTATACAAAACACTTACCTATCACAGATACCAGCTAATGTGAGAAGACCAAGAGCTATCCATTGTGGCCTTGTAATTTCTCTGTAAAAGAAGAAAACAAAACGGTCACAATAAGTCACTAGTATAAATGTTCAATAAATTTGAGTCTGATTTTTCATTTAAAGGTGGAAGTTAACTTAATATCTAAAATTAAATATCCATTTCAATCCGTGTGTGCATACCTTTTACCAAGTATTTGATTGTATATAAAAAACTTTCTAAATTTCATTTTGGTACTTAATACAAAATGACCCAATAATACACCACACAGAGGGCCAATCAACTCATTACAGAATAAAAAGTTTCTATACTTGAATGCTGCTGGTTCTCAAAGAATGTAAATTCTTAAAATATGTAACTAAATTGCAGAAACAGGCACACAGGTACCCTACTGTAAATTTTCCACGGTCAAGTTTTAACATCGATTTCAACACATTTTTTTGGTCATACCTCAGTGTGCAATCCAGTAAAATGGGTTTCCTGGAAAACTAACCAGTAATTACCAGTTTTTCACAAATGAATTACTAATAATATCAAATGATTTCTGATTCCATGGTGATAAATGACCATTACACTAAATATTTGAAATCAATTGCCAAGGAGAATTTTCACCTTGCCCAAGGATCAAACCAACAACCACAGAATTACTAATCTCATGGTATCCCTATTGAGCAAAGCGGGTGAACATCAAGTCTATTATAAAACAAGAAGGACAAATGATTCATCTCCTAAATTTACCTTTTGATTATAAGCTTGTAAAGAAGCGCTGTTGTAGCTATTTTCAGGTTGTTTAACACCTGGAATAAAAATATCAAAGTGAAAAATAGATTTCATCAACAAAATATTTAACATTTGTCACAATATGAGATTATAAGAATCTTACGCTGGCTGCCGGCCCCGTACAGACCAGAATATCTAGCTTGCGGGTAACTGTTTACGGCGGTAAAGAGGCTCTGTGGGTTTCTGCTAAACAGTTACCCCAGAGCTAGATATTCCCATCTGTAATGAAAGCTGGTGTTTGATTCTTTTTCTTGCATATTACATATCAACTGTTTTCAGAACAGAAATTACGATAGCTTATCTTCCCATTACGCATTTTCTTAGTAGAGTATGATCTTACAACTTCATTCATTACGGTAAAATGATGTCATCCTATGAATGCAATTCATTCATAAAAGGTGCGTGGCAATGACATCATTTAAAGCACACAACTTGTGTTACATGGGGGTGTAAGACAGGTTTTTCTAGCACCAGTGTAAACGGTAGATAATCCTGTCTGATTTGCGAGAAAAAATGTGTAGCCTAATTTGGACTTGAGCAGCTTTAATAATTTCTCCCCTTGAGGTGATCAATATGAAGTTCTGATAATAGAACAGCAAAGACCTGGAAAATATTTTGAAAATCAAAAACAAATTAAATTTGTGTCTGTTTATTTTTTTCATGTTTTACACTTATGTATAAATATTTCTTGCAAAACCACCCACCTGAAAAGTTGTAGGATCCATCTGAAGCTGCATGTATAGGGCTACATTGTTGTTGAACATATATAATACTGCCGGTACAGAAAATGAGATCAGAGATATCAATGGAACCTTTGGTAATCTGTATCCACCCTTCACAAACTCCGGAATATACAGCACACATGATGTCACCAACTGCAAGTATAACATATTACCATTTCAGTGATTTATATTTTAATCATTATTGTTGTTTTTTTTAAAGAACTTGTGACTTTACAAGTGGGAAAATAAAAGCAACATATCCAAATTTTGGAAAAATTATTTACTGTAAGTCTTTGTAGGATTAAACTTCTAAACCTTACCACCTTAAATATCTTATATGAACTTGTCAATCTTTGGATACGGAAAAAATCATTCATCATTTTTATGAAAAAATTTCAAATTATGTACTGACTGAAAATACACTGTAAATATTTATGGTCCCTTACATTATTTTCTGTACATCCACTAAACCAATCACCTTGGTAAAACAACCAGCCTTTTATAGTATTATCTTTTTATAATATACACTACATGATTTGTTTGTTAGTTTGAATGGGTTTTACGTCACATTGACAGAGTATAGGTCATATTGCAACGTTCACTACATGAAAAGAGCAAACAAGATTTAGATGTAACTAGAAATGTGTCCATAGGACACGGGTGCCCCCATCGCGCCACTCTTCTGTCAATCTTTTTACTAAGTCAAGGGAAATTACTCTACAAATACTGGATAAATCCACAAGCAAAACCCCAGGTGCCAATCTAAAATATGCTGAGCAACCTGCCTATAAAGTAAAATGACTATGTCAAATCCTTTTTTGAGAAACTTGCGACACAAGTTGAAAATTGCAAAAATTTTCTAAGTGAAAGGCAATAACTCTAAAGATACTAAATAAATCCAAATGAAAATACCTGGTGCACAACTGCACATGCTAATCAATATTCCTGTAAAGTTCCATGACTCTAGGTCAAATACTTATTGAGTTACCTGCGACACGTGTTGAAAATTGCAAAATTTTACTAAGTCATGGGCAATAACTCTGAAAATACTAAAAATATCCAGACGAAAATACCCAGGTGCACAACTACACATGCTGATCAATATTCCTGTAAAGTTTCATGACTTTAGGTAAAATAATTTTTGAGTTACGTGCGACACAAGTTGAAAATTGCAAAATTTTACTAAGTCAAGGGCAATAACTCTGAAAATACTAAATATATCCAGACGAAAATACCCAGGTGCACAACTACACATGCTGATCAACATTCCTGTAAAGTTTCATGACTCTAGGTCAAATACTTTTTGAGTTACATGCGACACAAGTTGAAAATTGCAAAATTTTACTAAGTCAAGGGCAATAACTCTGAAAATAATAAAAATATCCACACGAAAATACCCAGGTGCACAACTACACATGCTGATAAACATTCCTGTAAAGTTTAATGACTCTAGGTCAAATACTTTTTGAGTTACATGCGACACAAGTTGAAAATTGCAAAATTTTACTAAGTCAAGGGCAATAACTCTGAAAATACTTAACATATCCAGACGAAATTACCCAGGTGCACAACTACACATGCTGATCAACATTCCTGTAAAGTTTCATGACTCTAGGTCAAATACTTTTTGAGTTACATGCGACACAAAAGTGAACGGATGAACGGAAGGACGGACGGACAAGGGTAAATCTAAATGCCCGCCGCTAACGTGGGGGCACAAAAATTGGAAAACCTTTCAACCACAAACCAAAACTTCTTATATTCAAAACAAACATAAAACTAAACAAAAATCAAATCACTTTACCTTTGTAAATTCTATCAGAAGAACAACTGAGCCTGATTTGAATGGTAATTTTCCATTTTCCTTTCCTAGGTTCACCAATGTGGAGTATGAACCATATATAACTGTCCTAAAATTAGAAGTTACAACATTTTAATAAAACTAACAATTATGGTTATTTGATGATTTTTTTTTTCGTTGGTTAACCAGTGAAAACTATTTTATCATATGCAATATAATTTTTAAAAAAATCTACTCATAGAAAATGGACACTATTCTAAGTTTACAAACACAACTAATTACAACACTGAATTGAAACAATAAATGTCGAACGACACATATGCCCCCCTTTCTAGCCCTTGACTTGGTAATTTTGTTTAAGAAACTTGCCATAAATGGGTGTGTTATGAAAAAAAAAAAATAATGAAGACTTTGTGATAAATAGTTTTCAAGATAATGAGTGGAAAATATTCTGACAATTAAGGCCCCTGTGACATTGACCTTTGAACTAGTGACCCAAAATCAATAGGGGTCTTCTAATAGTTATGACCAATCAATATTATAAATATGAAGACTGTGATAAATAGCTTTCAAGATAATGAGGGGAAACCATACTAACATTCAAGGACCCAATGACCTTCACCTTTGACCTGGTGACCCCAAAATCCATAGGGGTTACTTACTAGTTATGACCAATCAGTATGTGAAATATGAAGACTTTGTGATAATAAGCTTTCAAGATCATACTACCATTCCAGAACCCTGTGACCTTGACCTTTGTCCTGGTGACCCCAAAATCAATAAGGGTCATCTTCTAGTTATGATAATCAGCGGAAACAGACATTAGCAGAACAATATACCCCCTCTTCTTTGAAGGGGGTGGGGGGGTATAATTATTTAAGATGCACAATATTGGCAGATACTCCCAAAGAGATCATTTTTGTGACTGGGTCACGGTCACAAGAGCTAAAAATAGATTTTTCTTACACTTTTGCTCATGCAGCCTTTATTTATCGACATATTCTGCATTATTTAAGCAAAATATTAAACAAACTTCAATAATATCTTACTCAATGATCAGCATAAAGGTCCAGATACAATTTTGTTTGGTGACTCGTGCCTTGTTACTCCTGCCATCTGACTGGTGGTGAGGCAACAAGGCATCTTTTCCTTTGTGCATGCCAACACCCTGAAAATAAATTCTTGAAGAATTAATTGTAAGAAGTTGTTTTGATTATTATAAGGCAAGCTCAAAAATCAAGAATATTTTAAGTTTTCCCCAGCTAATCCGGGGGTACAGTTTCAGCTCCAAAAATAGGCACAAAAGACCGACTTATCTTTTGTTTTTGATAACATCTATTAGATGTGAACAGTTTGACCCAATTAACAGAATATTTTTTTTTCATACTGTCAAATGACATTGCCCATCCAAAAGTTATCTATGTCAGTGTCTCTTTGACAAGTCTTAATAAGATGGAATAGTAATACAGTTGATCAATAAAGATAAATTATGTATTAAACAGAGTCTTGAGCACACTGGTAATCACTAAACTGAATATTTTGATTTTTTTAGTTCTGTACGGAACAATTGGACCACACATTTATAAGTTGTTATTGTTTCAATTACAAGAGATAACAAGCCATACATAAGCGTGTATTGTAACTGAAAAACATTGCATTGTGTTGAAACTTCAGAGCCACACAATTCTATATCTTTGTTCATTTTCTCTTTTTCCCCTCAGTTTTCAACATCCTTATGCTTCTATTCTTGCTTACCAGTTAAAAGCTCAGTGACTTAAAAGCTGTCTTTGGTACTTGGCCTTTCCTTCATCCCATTATTGGCATGTGACATTCCTGAATGTGAAATCCTGAAAGCAAATAAGTGAGAAATGGTTACTTTTTACCAAATAATTACTTATAATACTATGGTTTGGTGCACAACTGAATTAAGACCTATAACTACAACCTCTGACAACAAAGTTTCTGAATCCATTGTTTAGCTCCGTAATCTACAGTATTATAACTTTTGCTTATAAAAGACTGGTCACTTGTTTGAATCCCAGCAATGGCAGGACCTTTTCTGGTGCTGTTACATCTTTCTGTTTTTAATACAAGCTTTAACTTTTTAATAATGATGGACATATTGTTCAATTTTCTAGGTAGACAATTTATACCCCATTCTAAATCATAATTTGATAAATTATATAACAAATATCAGAAACACAAAGCCTTTTTCTAAAAGCATATCAAATACAAGTATCACAGCTAACAAGGAAGTTTAAAATATTTTAAAAACCTGTTGCCATTATGTTTATGTAAAAAGATATTTTAACCGGATTATGTGTTGTTCAAGGTTCAAATTACATGATTATTATAAAGATAAAATTATGTGGTCTAGCAAAAATCAACTTAACATACAAATAATTCAATAACTACAAGTTTTAAAAGGACCTTTCAGCTTTTCTAACATTAACATGTTATTTTTAGTTAATAATGATATAATTTTAATTATTAAATCAAAAGAATTAAAATGGAAAATGAAATCTGCCAATGATAAAATATATAAAAAAATCTTAAGGAAACCCTTCAATACAATGTACCTCTACTCTATCGGTCTGCACTCTATTATTCACATTAGTAAAGCAAAAGATTTGTTTCCTGATCTTTAGACATAAACATCACAAGTGGCAGGTGGGGGTAATGGTAAAAACTGACTGGTATACAAGAATTCAGGTTCAAAGACCAAAGTAGTAAAAATTATAATAAACTAAATCACCAGTTACTTATTACTTTCATATCAAGTCCCTTATTTCAGGGTAATACCAGAATACAACAGTCTTGCACTGGTCAGAAAAGCATTGACGCAGGGAACAATCTTATGTTAAAATTCACTGAAATAAATTCCCACCCTAATGCTAGCTATATAGTTAGCACTGGTTTTTGCAAACACTGAAACAGTCTTCATTAATTTTACAAAATTTTTACTGTATTCATTGTGGAAATTCACAGTAATTTCAGGGCTCATCCTGGGGGGAAATTTTAGGGAGAAGTGACTTCCTCGCGAAAATTAGGGAGAAGGGAAACAACCCAATGTGTATGCATTAACATGCATGGCTATACATCCTTTAATTATAATATAAACACAATTAACATCACTTATAATATTTCTCCAGTTTATTAATTAATAGTAGATTAATTAATAGTAGTATTAATTAAAAGTAGATTAATTATTAGTAGATCTGGCAATGGCATCTAAATGTTTTTGAGCTGCAAATATGAATATAAAAAATTATTTTTGATATCTATTGATCAGCTTTTTATAAGCTTTCTCTAAATATGTGTTTATATATTTTCATGTACATTTGTTGATAATGTGTAAGAAAAGATATGATGATAAAATCAATTTCATATTTTTTACTTTCCTCACATTTAATAGAAGACGATGTCACATTGGATATTGATTAATAATATATATTCTATTCTGTTCTGGTAACAGAAATTTCTTTCAAAGTCCTGAATGTTGTAATGTCATATTTATATGCATATAATTATGCTTATAAAACAATTTTCAAACATCAAAGAATATGTAAAATATTTACTGCAAACATTTGTGCACATTATATTTGATCACTAAAATTACATACATTCATTTCTTATTGAAAAATTTGACTGAGAAATTGTAGAAAATTAATTTCTAATTACCTCCCTTTATTTTCATGAAATGTTAAATTAGGTAATATCTTTAGTTTTAAAGAAATTAAATATACAACTTACACGCACAGAACACCGCGTCCAATATTTAGAGAAATGTGTTATTAATAAATCAACACCAAGATCTTTACGGGTTAATTTAACCCCACAGGTCCCAGTAATTAATTCAGTCCTACAAATTAAATGGGAAGAAGCCCACATAAACTTTGGACTACAACTCACCAAAATATTATTAGAATATTGGAACACAAGGAAATCACAACTGGTAGAAGAAATTAGGGAGGTAGAGAAACATCTAAAAGACACCACTTCAACTGACGAAGTCGACCTAATTGCTGACATCATATCAAAAATTGTACTATCGGTCAGAAGAGATCTCAGTAACAAAAAATCAACCCAAGATCCCGAAAAATCCTCTAAACAAAACACCCGCCAGTAATCATCCCAACCAAAAGAAACTGAAAAATATATGCCCAACAGAAGATTCAGAACAAAACAATTACATGAACGAAATCTTCTCCTCCGTAACTATCATAAATTTGTCATAAATTTATCAAACTACAATCTCTCCACACCCGAAAAAATGATTCTTTGTAGAGGATTGTCATTCTGCCCCACCCCAAGAAAAACAGACCAAATAGAATTACAACGAGACTTACTACTTTTCGACAGAAGAATGAGACTTAAACACTATTTTACAGATACCACATATAACAATCCTGACCCGTTCACACAAAGCTCAGGATGGAAACCACCTGCAGGCAAATCAATGAACCTCGATGCATTTCTGTCAATCGTCCATCATGACATTCTTACAATTAAACAGTCACCGAATACAAATTATAATATTACACCCGATGAGTACCTAGCAATAACAAAACTTCAACAAAATAAGGATATCATTATAAAACAAGCCGACAAAGGAGGAGCGATAGTCATTTTAAATAAATCTGATTACATTGCCGAAGGTTTAAGACAACTCAACGACAAAAACACATACAGGACCACACCCTACGATCTTACAAACAAATCCACCAGAGAGATCAACAATTTTTTAACATATCTGAAGAAACACTCCCTTATGTCACAGCAACACATCAGCTACCTTACTGCGAAAAATTGCAGGACACCCATCTTCTATTTATTACCTAAAATTCATAAGCCTAATAACCCCGGACGCCCCATCGTCTCAGCTTGTGGAAGTCCTACAGAAAAATTATCTGAATTTGTAGATCACTTTTTACAACCATTAGCACGTAAAGTCCCCTCATATATTAAAGATACCCGTCATTTCCTAGAAAAAATACACGAATTAAACAACGTACCTAAAGACGCATTCTTAGTCACAATAGATGTGACAGCACTTTACACTAATATTCCACACAAAGAAGGCATTTTAGCAGCCAAATATGCACTACAACAAAGATCTGAACAAGAACCCAAAACCTGGATCCTTCTAAGAATACTTTACTTCATACTCAAGAAAACATGTTTCAGATTCAATGATACATTTTATGAACAAATTGCCGGAACCACGATGGGTACCAAATGCGCACCTACTATGCGATAATTTTTTATGGATAAGATAGAACAAGAGTTCCTAGCTAAATACCCGATATCTCCACTGGTATGGTGGAGATATATTGACGATATATTTATGGTTTGGCCACACTCGAGAGAGGATTTGAATTCCTTCACTACGGCCTTAAATAGTTTCCACACAACGATCAAGTTTACGGTAGACATAAACCAATCATCAGCAAACTTCTTGGATGTTTACTGTCAACAAAGACTTAAAAGGAAAATTATCAACCACACTATACACAAAAACCAACGGATGCACATATGTATTTACACTATAGCTCATTCCATCCACGTCACCAAAAAGCAAGTTAATCCCATATAGCCAAGCCGTCAGAATAAGGAGAATATGCAGCACTGACGAACAATTTGAAATATGCACAAAACAACTTACGGAAAACCTTATTGCACGCGGTTATCCGAGAAAATTAATATACGAAGCATCAAAAAAGCCAAAATTACCAATCTTGATACCAATGTCAATACTAAAGCACAAAAGGAAATTATACCGCTTATAATTACTCATAACCCGCTTATTCTAAGAACAAATAATATCATCTCTAAATACACCCACCTCCTGGAAAACGACCCCACTTTAACAATGTTTAATAAATACAAAATATGTACAGTATTTCGAAAACCAGCATGCCTAAGAAACACACTCACAAAATCAGACATCAATCCCCAGATGAAACCACAAGGATCACACCCATGTAAAAGAAATTGTATCGCATGCAAACATATCAGCAGTAAATCATATGTTAAAATTCATTCAACAGGAAAATACTTTCATATCAAAGGCACATATGACTGTAATTCATCCAGTTTAATCTATTTAATAACATGCAACAAATGTGGAATACAATATGTAGGACAAACCGGGCAATACTATAAGAGACGTCTATATGGCCATTTTCGCAGACATAAAAATGCCAACAATTATAAACCCGTTTCCCGCCATTACACAACACACCGAACACAACGTTAATGACGTCGACGTAACTATGTTATTATCAACACCTAAGAACGTCAACATCCGCCTCAGAACTGAAGAAACAACTTATATCAATATTTAAAACACGATCACCATCCGGGGGACTCAACTTAATACAGTAATAATGGAAATCCAAAAAAATTTACAGAACAACAGTTAACAGCGAACAACGAACACTTCATTGAAATAATCCAAAAAACTACTACAATGTAAAACCTGCAACAAATTTCTGAAAGGATCTAAAAGTAACTTCAAACCGACACTTTAAAATTCACCAAGACACGAAATTACGATTTATATGCTACATCTGCAACAACTCTTTTAGCCGACGTGAACACCTCCAGGAAACACAGTAATACGATACACAAACAACCACTAAAAAACGCTACCTCACCAAATTAGAGAAAAAACACGACAACATTGAAAAAACCTATCAAACCTTGGAAAAAACCTTTTGAAGCAACCACCATACCAAAATTCCGTATAATACCCGGCGTAAAATCATGGCTACAGAATACACCAAAATCAACAACGGACGAAATTTTAAAAGAAATGATAATAGATCCGGAATTATCCCCACTT